TATATATATACATATATATATATATATAATATATACATATAATATATATATACTATATATATATACATATATATATATATATATACATATATTATATATATATATATATATATATATATATAATATATATATATATATATATATATATATATATATATATATATATATATATATATATATATATATATATATATATATATATATATATATATATATATATATATATATATATATATATATATATATATATATATATATATATATATGTCGTACCTAATAGCCAGAACGCACTTCTCAGCCTACTATTCAAGGCCCGATTTGCCTAATAAGCCAAGTTTTCATGAATTAATGTTTTTTCGTCTACCTAACCTACCTAACCTAACCTAACCTAGCTTTTTTTGGCTACCTAACCTAACCTTACCTATAAATATAGGTGAGGTTAGGTTAGGTAGGGTTGGTTAGGTTCGGTCATATATCTACGTTAATTTTAACTCCAATAAAAAAAAATTGACCTCATACATAGAGAAAAGGGTTGCTTTATCATTTCATAAGAAAAAAATTATAGTAAATATATTAATTCAGGAAAACTTGGCTTATTAGGCAAATCGGGCCTTGAATAGTAGGCTGAGAAGTGAGTTCTGGCTACTAGGTAAGACATTATATATATATATATATATATATATATATATATATATATGTCGTACCTAATAGCCAGAACGCACTTCTCAGCCTACTATTCAAGGCCCGATTTGCCTAATAAGCCAAGTTTTCATGAATTAATGTTTTTTCGTCTACCTAACCTACCTAACCTAACCTAACCTAGCTTTTTTTGGCTACCTAACCTAACCTTACCTATAAATATAGGTTAGGTTAGGTTAGGTAGGGTTGGTTAGGTTCGGTCATATATCTACGTTAATTTTAACTCCAATAAAAAAAAATTGACCTCATACATAGAGAAAAGGGTTGCTTTATCATTTCATAAGAAAAAAATTATAGTAAATATATTAATTCAGGAAAACTTGGCTTATTAGGCAAATCGGGCCTTGAATAGTAGGCTGAGAAGTGAGTTCTGGCTACTAGGTACGACATATATATATATATATATATTCAAATAGATCCTAAGTATATATATATCCCTAATACTCCACTTAAATTGAAATTGCAGCTTTGTTTCGGTGAGTTAGTATCACGTTACTATGCGTTTTATAGTGGAAATGGCTTAGTGCTTTCTCGTGATTGAGGAGGGCTGAGCTTTGGCTCTTTGGTCCCGCCTCTTAGCCGTCAATCAACATCTGTCTTGTCCTGTTCCTATGCGTATATGTTAGCTAAATGAATTTACATTGTCCCTCAGGTCAGCACACCTGTCTTTCTCTTGTCCACCCTGAGGACTCGTTCTGAGTGTCTTAGCAGATCCTGTTCTAGCCTCTTAATCAAATATCTGTTATAACAGCCCCTCAGATATTGCGTGCTGCTTCATCATCAAATTTTCTTATCATTGTGGTTTGCTGAAACATTGACATCCTAATAGTCTAATCGACGTGAGATTAAAATCTCCCAAGGGGTCTCATGGCCTTGGTTCGAACCTTTATCACGGATGCTGTAGATTTTCTCCTTAGAGACCCCCTGCCCTGTGAATAATCCTGCTCAAAACACTTTGTTCAAAGCTCTTGTTATTTTAGGATTTTGTGAACAGTTCAACCAATGCACTTAAGGGACTACGGGCCTAGCCACGATACTCACTCACACTATCAGATATGATAGAGCCCAGTAGGCTCAGGAACCTGTACATCAGTTGATTGACGGTTGAGAGACGGGACCAAAGAGCCAAAGCTCAACCCCCGCAAGCACAATTAGGCGAGTACACAATAATTCTTCTCCGTAAAGCACTGTCCATCAAATAAATTAAATGTATTATGTGGAAATCACCACAGCAAAGTCAGTATCAATTAATTTCCTCAAACGTGTCTGGCAGGAGTTCAACTAACTATTCCTCCTTTTTCGCTCTATCAGTCTCTCCCCCCCCCCCCCCCCCAAAAAAAAAATAAAAAATTCCAATAAAATTTATGGAAACTTTTCCACCATGAAGAAGTTAACTATGAAGTTAACTTAATATTTACTTCCCGGAAAGATCCCGTGATGGTTTTTTACCCCCCTCCCCTGAAGTTATACTAAAGTTGTTGGGAACTTTAGAGACGCATAAAATAGTTCTACTTTTTAATGTAAAAAATAATATCTCTCTGAGAGCGACATCATTCCTGAAGGTTAGATTTGACCGACTGTTGCGTTTGAGATAAGAAACTTTATTCTATTGTGACAGAAAACTGTTGGAGTGTAGATGTTCGGCAGTCCTCCAATGGCAGGTGTCAATGCCTAGTCACACTTACAAAAAAAAACAGATAGACTGCTTGCCTGTGGTAAAGTAAGGGTAGACACGCAAAAACACAAAGTATGAACAATGAAACTTTAATTATTATAGAAAACAAAATATAAACAAAAGACAATCCCTTGGCAATGTACAGTGCAAAAGAACAAGTCAAAAACAAATATAACATAAATGAATAATAGGGATGAAGTTCCTCTACAATAATAATGTTAAAGGTGAAAAATAATTAGGTGCTGAGAATATGGCGCTAGCTGCGAGACATCCACCTGATACAGCAGTATCAGTTAGTTGTTCACTGCTTGAGAGCACAAGGATATTCTGACTTTAATGGCTGGATCAAGCCCAGACATCGACTCGGGTAGAGGGCGCTGAGGTGCAGTGTGCAGTCGGCGAGTCACCAATCAGGAGCAGGCAGGCTGGGAAGGGTAGTTGGCTGGTTGATGACGAGCCGACGTGGAGGGAGTGGAGTAGGGGTGAGTCTTTGATATGTTTTGCCTCCTCGTAAAAACGTTTTGTGCTACTGGTAGACGTATCTTGAAGGTAGCATCTTAATCTTGTGTAAAATACGTAACTTCATGTAGAGAAGAGCAGGCTCAATCTCTTAAAAGAGATTATCGTCACTATCTTCCGTTAAGGTAAGAAATTTAATTATGATAATAATAAGAGCGAGTTGTCCAGAGTAACGGAAAGATATGACAAGAGTGACTTGTCTCCACCACTGTCAACCAATTGGAAAGTACATAATCGATTATTCTGTCCTCGTGAAAGGGGTAATTACCGCTTAATGACTAAGGTAACAACCCCATAATTACAGGGGTAATTACCCTTTAGTGACAAGGGGTAACTACCCATTAATGAGAGGGGGTAACGATCCATTCATGACTGAGGTAACTACCTCTTAATAGCAGGGGTAACGATCCCTTAATAACAGAATAACCAACTATCTTGGCAGGGAAACCTTCACTCAGGGCAGGGAAACAATGTCTCTCTTCATGACAATAAACTGTGGCGTTTCCATCTTCACTTCTCGGCGTCTAAAACAGCAAAGATAAAACTAAGCAGCATCTAACAACCTCTGTGTTACGGCCACAATGGGACGCAACCGGGTTCTTTTCTGATGGTATGAAAGTTATGGTATCCGGCCCCAAGCTAGTAGTGGCTTTCAAGAGCTGAGCTCAGTAATGCAATCAAAATAAAAAGGGGAGGTACATTAAATACACAAGTACGTCACTTTAACCATACATAATTATTTTTCCATCACCATATATATATAAAAGTTTTAAATGGAGAATATTACTACGCTATGTACATCATCGTCTCTCTCTGAAAACACTGAACAATCGGCGAAGCCCACTCCATGCAGACTTTTACCGGGTTTCCTTATCTGTGGCACTACCCTCAGCTGGTACCAGGAAACAACGATGAGTCTACCCTGGTCACGGGCCAGCCAAATCACAATTCCACTAGGTGCCTCGTCGTGAAGGCTCACAACCACAGTCCATCCTGTTGCTGGCAGGTACCAATCAGCCTCACGCTGTTAGGCCACTTCACGAGCAAATACTAGGGTTGCGAGCCCTAGGCAGGAGCTTCGCGTAACTCGCTGGTTACTCTCCTCTTTCGGCACCACAGTCGGCTGTCTCTTCCACCAGCCAGCCCCGGGTATGGCGAATACCGTCACTGCCTCTCCTCAGGCAGAACGTTTAGCACTCTACAGTTCTCGTCCGGCGGCGGCTCACTGCTTCTGTGAAGCAGACCGGTGTAGAGACCTTGGCTGCCTTGGGTAGACTGACTCATCTTGTATCACAGCAGCCCTACGTTGACTCTGTGAATACAGACGCGTCATCAGTACACTGGGGACACTACATGGGGACCACTAGGAAACATCACTTACTGGCTTAGCCACAAACATCCTCCTTTTCGCTCCATAGATGGCACTCATTGTTTAAGCGTCACCTCACCAGAGGTCAGCACCGGCTACCTCACAAGCCAACTAAGACAGGAATCCAGCGCCTATTGCCGGTATATTCCCGTCATCACTAGATGGCGTTGTCCATGTTGTGGGGGTTTTCGGGAGCGGACTCACAGATGGCGTAGACGTCTCTGTTCCGTGTTCCGACGGTGGACTTTGGTTCGTAACACTCAGTAACAGCTAAGATTAACTTCGTGGAGTTAGTATTCTATTTTCCATCCAATGCAAAAGAACCTAAAACATAAAACTGATTCGTGTCAGAAGCATTGATCTAACTCATTCACTCATACTTAAAAACATGTCTATGGGAGCCACTGTCTCCAAAATAGAGAAATAACAATATAGAAACGATGAAATGGAAAAATATTAAAATTCTCTGGAATAAATGAAAAATTTTGTCTAAAGAATAATTGCTAGGACTTTGATTGAAAGCTTGGAAGAAGCAATTTGCTCGTCTTGCCTCAATGGCTGAGTGTTGGAGTGGACGGTATACTGAAGCTGTTCCCCTCGTGTTGGTACACCTGGTCCTTGGAATATCATGTGTAGGTGTAACACCCACTGTGTTACACTTGGTCCATGTATCACCCTTTTATTACAAATAAAAACATTACTTTTATTACAAATTACAACATTGTACCTCATCCCTTGTTATATACGTGGTCCGCCACTGACACCTCTGAATTCAAACACACTCAAAACGGCAGATGGCAACCCCACGGCAGGTGGCAGCCCCACGGCAAGTGGCAGCCCCACGCTAGGTTGTAGGCCCTCGCCAGGTGGCAGCCCCACGGCAGGTGGCAGCCCAACTGCAGGTGGCAGCCCCACGGCAGGTGGTAGCCCCACGGCAGGTGGCAGCCCCACGGCAGGTGGCAGCCCCACGGCATTTGGCAGCCCCACTGCAGGTGGTAGGCCCTCGGCAGGTGGCAGAAGAACCCTCCCAAGAAGTTTGGTGAAAAGTTTCATCTAGTCTAAAAGAAGTAGAGAATGATGCATAGACAAGACACATACAGTGTCCTTGTTTGTGACACAGCAAATAATTAATCATGTTAATTATCCTTCCATTCATGCATTAATTACAGGTTTTCCTACAATTATCGTTCATATAATATTTTTTGTTTCTGTCTTTCAAGCTTTGAATACCTCCATTATCCCCCTTATCCCAATTTTATTCCTACTCTTCCCTCCGCCAATATTGACCTCATTCCTACCCATTTTCATCTCTAGGGCAAAGCAACAATTCCTCCCCATAACATCGTCTGTGTTCCGCTCCAGCATCACAGCACAAGGGAAATTTTCTACAACACAAAGGACCCGCCCTTCCTGGGGACAATCACCCATTAAATTGTCTTGACTGTATCGCTCTGCATCGCTGGAGGCATTAGCAGACTTTTCGTGCACGTGAAACTGCGAGAAAATTGCTCACACAAACATTCGTATGGTCGTGCTGGCCGAGTCTCGTGGCTAATTAGTTAGCAGTAATATATGATGAAAGTTAGATTGGGTTTAGATGAAGTTTGGACACTATTGCTTAGGTATGGTTATAGTTTGGTGTGAACCACAGTAAGTTACGACAAGTTATGTATAATCCAATTACATAGTAGGAATTAAATAGTAGGAATTACATTATAGACTAATTAAAATATTCAAATTCAATATACTCAATATAAAAGCATATGTAAATTATGTACAGATATTTCTGCATGGAAGCCATACACTTTAATCAATATAATGAATTCCCACACTCCCTCCTTCACACACTAAGACGAGCTTCTCTCCTTCACACACACTAAGACAAGCTTCCCACCTGCACACACCATCACGTGTCAGTATTCTCAGGACACAATTTGAGCTCTGAGTTGCTATCACCTTAAAGGAACACGTTTCCCTCCTAAACACCCTCAGTTAACTTTAAACTTACCACTCCGCGTTAAACCAACGTGATGCTTCCACTGCCAACTGCGTCAGATGCACTTTATCACAAAAATATGTGACAGTCGTAATATGCAGAGGTACTGTTATCGTGTAGAAAGTCTTAACATTGCCCATTTCTATTGTAAAGACAGGGATTGTCTTCAGGAAAAGATATTAAACTTTTTGGCAATCATATTGACCTTTTTAATTTTTCTTCACACAAGCGGGTCCAGACGTAAGTGATTTGTGATCCAGATATACGGAGACATTGAATGGTTTCCATGATGCAGACGCCCCTCACCCCTCCTGCCTCACCACACTCACGTGCATTAAACCCCTGCTAACACACTCACAAACAGGTGTTGAGTTCCCATCGTCGCGTCACTGCCCCTCACTGATATATTCCCGGCCATGAGCAGGTAATGAGAGCGAGAACAGCTCTCATTATCATAACTATCCTAAATGGTTAATAATGTGGGAGGTAATTGCATTACAAATTATTGGTAATTAAGAGCGCGAAATGTGGTTAAATGGTGAACAAGGGTTTCCAGTGGACGAGCTGGTCCAGCTGTTGATGGTGTTAAAAAGGGAAAGGAAAAAGGAAAGTAGGAAGGAAATTAACAGGGGCAGTACCACATATGCTCCCGACAGGCCGTACCACATATGCTCCCGACAGGACGTACAAGCCGAAAAGGAAAAGAGAGAGAACAATTAAAGGAAAAGGGATATATATATATATATATATATATATATATATATATATATATATATATATATATATATATATATATTGTTGTATACTGGCAGCAGGTTTTCTTTCAAACATGTTTCATTGAATATGACCGCATATTCTGTATTTATTATTTTCTGGTTTAGGGCTTCTATCCCTTTAACTATTTTCTTAGCATCAGGGCTTAATTGGAATAGGAGTTCTCCAAAACTCATTTTCGTACTTTTAAGGTGAAGAAAAGAAGTTATTTACTATAGAGTGTATTACACTTATTTGTATAATTTGCACGACGTTTCGAACCTCCATGGTTCATTCTCAAGTGAACAGATCTTACAATACTAGTTGATTTTATACCCGCATTAGGTCAGGTGATAATACAATGAAGGTGAAAAACATGGGGGGATACATAAGGGATAAACATAGGGGCTGCAGAAGGCTTATTGGCCCATACGAGGCATCTCCTATCTAAACACAAAGATTAATCCAGTGTAATTGGCCTGTTATGTTGGACATTGTCTTCTGTGTTGGCATCGATATGTTCTTGTCTTGTCCTTACTCTCATGGTGGGTAGAGTAAATAGTTCTGTGATTTGGGTGTTCATGGTAGGTCGCTCTATTCTTATGTGAATTGCCTCAAGAATTTGTAATCTTCTTGAATCTTGGGTTTTGTCTATTATGCAAGTATTCTTGTTCAACATTTCTCTTGTTAGAGTAATGTCATGGGCTTGTCTCATGTGATTCCTAGGGGCACCAGATTGAAGATGGCATGTCAAACGCCTCGTCAGCTTGGTCGACGTCATACCTATGTACTTACATTGAAGGTTACATCCTTCGTGGGGGCAAGTGTACATGTATACAACGCTTGACTGCTGTAGAGGGTTCTCCGTCGGCTTCGGGCTGTTTTTGATAAGGAGTTCGGAAGTCTTCTTGGTTTTGTAGAATATTATCAGGTTTATGTTTTGGTTAGGAGTAGTGCTTTTTACTCCTTTACGGATTATTTCTTTCATTATTCTTTCCTCTTTTATATGTTCACTGTGCATGGTTGATTTGTAATATAATTTTATTGGGGGTGTTGTGGTTTCTGTTCTAGGTTCTAAATTATACCAACGGTCCAAGTGTCTTCTTATAGCAGCGTTTATTTCCGCGTTGCTATATCCGTTGTTCACCAATACCTGAGTTACTCTTTCAAACTCTCTACTCACGTTGCTCCATTCAGAGCAGTGGGTAAGCGCTCGACGAATATAAGCATTGAGAACACTGGCTTTGTATCTTTGGGGGCACTCACTTCTACCGTTCAGGCATAATCCAATGTTGGTGGGCTTGGTATATACGTTGGTGCTTAAAGAGGTTCCTGTTTTTGTTATTAGTACATCCAAGAATGGCAGACTGTTATTTTCACTATTTTCCTGTGTAAATCGGAGTACTGACTCTCTCTCTAGGTGTCTTTTTAGGTCAATTAGTTCATCTGAGTCTTTTACTATTACAAATATGTCATCTACATAACGGCAGTATACAGTTGGTTTTGTCTGCTACTGAAGACCCTATCTTCGATGGTTCCCATATAAAAATTAGCAAATAAAACTCCTAAGGGGGAGCCCATTGCTACTCCGTCTATTTGTAAATACATGTCTCCTTGTGGACTGATGAAAGGGGCTTCCTTTGTACATGCTTCGAGAAGACTTTTCAAGTGTGGCTCAGGTATGTCTAATTTGGGGGTGCTCTCGTCTCTGTATACTCTGTCCAGTATCATTCCTATGGTTGTGTCGACTGGGACGTTGGTAAAAAGGGATTCAACGTCCAGGGAAGCGATGATTCCATCGGGCTGGGTAGATTTGATCAATTCTAGGAAATCTGCTGATGATTGTAGACTAAACTTACTTGGAGTGTATGGAGTTAGGAGTTCATTGAGTTTCTTTGCCAGGTGATAAGTTGGGGTTGGTATTTGGCTGATTAAGAGTAAGGACAAGGCAAGAACATATCGATGCCAACACAGAAGACAATGTCCAACATAACAGGCCAATTACACTGGATTAATCTTTGTGTTTAGATAGGAGATGCCTCGTATGGGCCAATAAGCCTTCTGCAGCCCCTATGTTTATCTCTTATGTATCCCCCCATGTTTTCACCTTCATTGTATTATCACCTGACCTAATGCGGGTATAAAATCAACTAGTATTGTAAGATCTGATCACTTGAGAATGAACCATGGAGGTTCGAAACGTCGTGCAAATTATACAAATAAGTGTAATACACTCTATAGTAAATCACTTCTTTTCTTCACCTTAAAAGTGCGAAAATGAGTTTTGGAGAACTCCTATTTCAATTAAGCCCTGAGTCTAAGAAAATAGTTAGAGGGATAGAAGCCCTAAACCAGATATATATATATATATATATATATATATATATATATATATATATATATATATATATATATATATATATATATATATATGTCGTACCTAATAGCCAGAACGCACTTCTCAGCCTACTATTCAAGGCCCGATTTGCCTAATAAGCCAAGTTTTCATGAATTAATGTTTTTTCGTCTACCTAACCTACCTAACCTAACCTAACCTAGCTTTTTTTGGCTACCTAACCTAACCTTACCTATAAATATAGGTTAGGTTAGGTTAGGTAGGGTTGGTTAGGTTCGGTCATATATCTACGTTAATTTTAACTCGAATAAAAAAAAATTGAACTCATACATAGAGAAAAGGGTTGCTTTATCATTTCATAAGAAAAAAATTATAGTAAATATATTAATTCAGGAAAACTTGGCTCATTAGGCAAATCGGGCCTTGAATAATAGGCTGAGAAGTGAGTTCTGGCTACTAGGTACGACATATATATATATATATATATATATATATATATATATATATATATATATATATATATATATATATATATATATATATATATATAGTAGCCAGAACGCACTTCTCAGCCTACTATGCAAGGCCCGATTTGCCTAATAAGCCAAGTTTTCTTGAATAAATTGTTTTTCGACTACCTAACCTACCTAACCTAACCTAACCTAACTTTTTCGGCTACCTAACCTAACCTAACCTATAAAGATAGGATAGGTTAGGTTAGGTAGGGTTGGTTAGGTTCGGTCATATATCTACGTCAATTTTAACTCCAATAAAAAAAAAATTGACCTCATACATAATGAAATGGGTAGCTTTATCATTTCATAAGAAAAAAATTTGAGAAAATATATTAATTCCGGAAAACTTGGCTTATTAGGCAAATCGGGCCTTGCATATTAGGCTCAGAAGTGCGTTCTGGCTACTAGGTACGACATATATATATATATATAT